AGTGCAGCCTTGCGATGAGCCAAGTACATGATCTCAGGAGTTGCGTCTACGGAAATCGCCCCCCTGCCCGTGATTGAAAAACTAGACCCTAAAACCGATAGACCTTAAACCCTAAACCCCACGTAGTTATGCAGGGTTTCGTGTTCTGATATGTTATTGGGCATTTCGCGCAGCAGGGGGACCTGTTTTGCTGAACTGGGTGGTGGCCCCAACAAGGGCCCCGGCCGTCGTTCTAAACATTCTATAGACAATATGGGGCCCTGAAAGAGCTCTTCAGTTCCCAAGGCTTACACGTGGCTCAAACTGATCCTTCCGGCCGAAGCAGAACTTGATCGGCCTATCTCACAGGACACGTGCTCGGTCAGTGGCGTTGAAAAGATGCGCTTGCTTGCTCATGATCAGCTGATGCGCCTTTGTCTACTCCGCTTTGCTTTGTCCGCTCCGGCAAGCCTGACATGGCTTCAGCGTGTTTCATCATGTTTCATCTCAGCCCATCGCGAGCGCTGCTACCACTGCCTCCTGCGTTCAGTCGACACTGTTGGGAGAGGAAGCTTATTGCGGAGAAAGGCCGGATGTCGGGTGATCAGTTCAAGTGTGAAGTGGTCCGTTTGACAGCGTTGGCAGCGCTGTGGGGCGAGGGAAGCTGTGTCGTGGAGAAGTGCAACCGAACGCCATGTGATGTGTCAAGCAAGTGGAGAACCTAAGCTGTCCCTTTAGCAGCGTTGGGTTTGTGTGCGCCATCCTTACGAGACAGTTCCGCTTGGCCTTCCCGAGTCAGCTTCGGGAGCCTGCGATTCATACACAGGATTTCGTTGTCCCCCAGCGCTTCACGATCCTGCACATGCATGGCCTTGTCAGCCGGCGAATTGCGTGCACGGGCTCCAACTGCAGCCTTGTGACGAATCAAACGTGGAGTGGCCCCTTTAGTGGCGCTTGGCTTGCAGACTGGCCCATCCTTACGAGACAGTTCCGCTTGTCGCTGGTCAGCTTAGTTGGGGATCGCAGAACTGCTGCGCTCCAACATTTCCAGGCCCTGCACGTCACTGACCGGTTCTTGCCGCCCCTGATTGAAAGCTAGATAACTAGACTCTGTGGCGGTGCAGGGTTTCGTGTTTTGATATGTTACTGGGCATGTCGCGCCGCAGGCGTCGGCAGGGGAGCTGTGAGCGTGGCGGGCCGAAGAAGGGCCCCGGCCGTCGTTCTAGATATTCTACATAGACAATATAGGCCCCTGAAAGAGCTCTTCAAGTCCCAAAGCTTACACGTTGCCCAAAGTAGTCCTTTCGGAAGAAGCAGAACTGGAGCGGCCTGGCTCACAGGACACGTGCTCGGCTTGCACATGATCAGCTGATCTGATACGCCTTGTCTAATCCACTTTGCTTTGTCCGCTCTGGCAAGCCCGACATCGCCTCAACGGGTCTCATCATGTTTCATTTCAGCCGATCGCGAGCGCTGCTACCACTGCCTCGTGTGTTTAGTCGACACTGTTGGGAGAGGGAGCTTGTTGCGCAGAAGGCCGGATGTCGGGTGATGAGTTCAAGTGTGAAGTGGTCCCTTTGACAGCGTTAGCGGTGCGGTCACCTTGCACTGCCCCTTCCACGAGACAACTGCCTCTCGGACTTTGCAGCTGAGATGGGCTGGTGCGGCCATGAGTCTGCCAGGCGTGGTGACCTAAGACTTGTTCCGTGCAATCCGTGCATCACGCTCCGCCCCAAGCGTTTCGCGATCCTGCATATGCATGGTCTTGAAGGTCCTGCTTTGCCAGTGAGCTGTGTGCACTGTCTTCAACTGCAGCCTTGCGATGAATCAAGCGTGGAGTGATCCCTTTGGTGGCGTTCGCCCTTCAAGCACGACAGACTGGCCCAGCCTTACGAGACAGCTCCGCTTGTCGCCGGTCAGCTTCGCTGGTGTGGCGTCCCTGCACGGGATCACACTATCACACCCCAAGACCTCGCCTGGCACGTCAGTTGCGCTGCGTCGCCGGTATACTTTGCTCGGTGTCCATGCAGCGCAGTCTCTGTGGTACTTTTGGGAGTTTGTTTTGTGCGTGGCATTTTCACCGCAGAATTGGCAGGCGTCACGTATAGTAATCAGGCATCGCCCTTCCTGCAAGCGCTCAATGTGATGCTTGCTTGGTGCTGGACGCTGAGCTGTGGCACAACCCGTGCAGTGGTGTTTTCAATCTTCAGGTGGAGAACGCCTGCAACCTTGTGATGAGTCAAATGTGTGGCGGCCCCGTTAGTGGCGCTTGCCTCGCAAGCGCCACGGACTGGCCCATCCTTACCAGACAGTTCCGCGTGACCTTCCCGAGTCTTGGCTGGTGTAGCAGCCCATGCCCAGGATCGCACTTCCGCAGCAGCTTCGTGTATGGCCTTAGAGACGCGAGGCGCTTTCGCTTAAACCCAAAAGCCGCGTACTGCCTTCTTGTATGTCGCATAGACCCTACGAAGCCTTGAAAACACGCCAAAACCTTGCGCAATCCCCGTGGCACCATATGTCCTAAGTCCCCCATGCCCTGATTGCAAGCTAGACCATATAAGAGTGCAGGGCATTATCTAATGTCTTGTGAGCACATGGCGACGCAGGGATTGGCTGGGACCTGCGTGGTTGTATTCGGTGCAGGACAAGCAGGGCCGCTGCGCGGCATGTCCTTTTCGTGTTCTAGACATTCAAGACGCGCACCTGAAAGGGTTCTCCAGCCGTAAGAGAACTTAATCGCTCAGTCGTCGATTCTGCTCGCAAGGCTGCCCAGTCAGTGGCGTTGAAAGGACTCAGGCGCCCTTGCTCACACATACTGGGCTGATGCACTTGGTCTGCTTTGCCTTGTCCGGCTCGACCCACTAGGCTGACGTCGCTCTCGGGGGTGTCAGCCAAGTTTCGTGTCAGTGGCGGCACTGCTATCGGCTGCTACTGCTGGCGTCATCGTTTAGATGTTTAGCCGACACTGTGGCGAGAGGGAGGTTGTCGTGGAGAAGTACAGACGGATGCCATGTGATGCATATGATGCATCAATGATGCGTGGTCCCTTCGACAGCGTTGGCTTTGTAAGCGCGACAGGCTGGCCCGTCCTTGCGAGACACTTCCGCCTGGCCTGACCTTTTGCCAGGAGTGGTTGATCTGAGACTTATGCACAGGATTGCAAGGTCTCCCCCCCAGCATTTCATGCCTGTGAACTGTACTTGTGTGTGAGGTGCCCAACTGCAGCGTCGTGACGAGTCAAAGGTGGGGGGGCCCCGTTAGTGGCGTTCGCCTTGCAGTTTGCCTTGCAAGCGTCACGGACTGGCCAATCCTTGCGAGACAGTTCCGCGTGACCTTCCCGCCGGGTGAGCTTGGCTGGTGCCGCACCCATGCACAAGATCGCCCTGCTGCACCAGATGCGTGTACGGCCTTAAGACCCGAGGCTTTTAAACTCAAGCCGCGTAAAGCCGTTCTGCACCCTAGTAATGCCTTCAAAGCCTGACAAGCAAGCCCAAACTTCCAAACCGCGCGCAATCTCCGGATCACTTGATTTACCCATGCCGTGATTGCAAGCTAGACCATGTGGGAGTGCAGGGCGTTGTTTAATGAGCTGCGTTGCTGAGCTTGGTGCTAGACAGGCAGGGCCCCTGCGATGCTTGTCCTTTTGTTCCTGTTCTAGAGATTCAAGATGAGCACTTGGAAGCATCCGCCAGCCGTAGCAGAACTTAATCGCCCAGTCGGTTCTGCTTGCCAGGCACCTGCTCAGTCAGTGGCGTCGAAAGGACGCACTTGCTCGCGCATACTCAGCTAATGCACTTGGTCTGCTTTGCTTTGTCCGGCTCCTGCAACTAAGCTGACATCGCTCCCCTGCATTTCGGCGAAGTTTCATGGCTGCAGCAGCGCTGCTGCTGCTGCTGCTGGTGCTGCTGCTGCTGCTGGTGCTGCTGCTGCTGCTGCTGCTGCTGCTGCTGCTGCTGCTGCTGCTGCTGCTGCTGCTGCTACCGCTACCGCTACCGCTACCGCTACCGCTACCGCTGCCGCCTGCGGAGTCGAGACTGCTGGAAGAGGGAAGATGTCGTGGAGAAGTGCAACCCAATGCCATGTGACGAGTCCAGCCCGTAACGCAACGAAGCTGTCCCTTTGAACGTGTTCGCTTTGCAAGCGCGACTGGCTGGCCCATCCTTACAAGACAATGTTGCTTGGCCTTGCCGAGTCAGCTTCGTGAGCCGGCCATTCATACACAGGATTGCGCTGTCCCGCGGCTCACGACCCTGCACGTCAATGGTCTCGTTCGCCCGCGAACTGCGTGTGAGGTCTCCAGCTGCAAACTTGTGATGAATCAAGTGTGGAGTGGTCCCTTTAGCGGCAGTTGCCTTGCAAGCACCACAGACTGGCCCATCCTTACCAGACAGCTTTATTTGTCGTCTGGCCCTTATATAGACCCGAGGTACTTACACCCTAAAGCCGCCTAAACTGTGTCGCCCTGAAAAGCAAGTCTAACCTTGCGCACTCTCCGTGGCACTCCAAGTACCCATTCCGTGATTGCAAGCTAGACCACATCGCAGTACAAGGCCTCGTGGTCTAGTATTTTGTGGGCACATTGCAAGGCAGTGGTCGGTTGTCACTTGCGCGGCTGTACTCGGTGCCGGACAGGCAGGGCCCCCGCGACGCATGTCCTCTTCGTGTTCTAGACATTCAAGACGAGCGTCTGAAAGGATCGTCGGTTCTGCTCGCAAGACACCTGCTCAGTCAGTGGCTTGAAAGGACCCGGATGCACTTGCTTGCGCATGGTCAGCTGACGCACCTGGTCCACTTGCCCCCAGGCTCCGATTAGGCTATTTATAGACTATATAGTTAAAAATAAACTAATAGTTAAAATTAATACTATTTCATAAAAATAGTTAAAATTTATCTTATCCCCAAAGTTAAAATTTAACTATGAAAATAGTCTATTTTTATACTAAAAAATTGTTATTTTCAGGTTTGAGTCATACATGGTTATGTTTTCCAGGCGGCCCTTTTTCAAGTCTTCGAGGCAGCGACTACTCAGTTTTCAGAGCACGGGTGTGTTGGGTGCAGAGAACAGAGAGCTGCACAGCATGCCATCGGGCTGCAGAGTGGTCGAAACTGCTGTCCGCCCTCAAGTTGAAGAGGTTCCTCTTCAAGATGTGTTTGGCCTTCTTTTCGTACAGACTGGCTCTTTCCAAGGCTTCCTTGAAGAACTCTTTCTTCTCAGGGTGCTTGGACAAGAACTTTTGCGCCTTGGCCCCGAAGTGGCCCAGCAGCCAGAGTGTGTCCTCTGCTTGGATCCGTTCCTTCAAGAGCCCCTGCGGTTTCTCCGGGCTGTCCAAGACTTCCACAGTTGGCCCTGCTGCTGAGTTGCTGGCTTCCGCCTCTGACTCGCTAGCAGTGTCAAGCTTCTGGTTCTTCTCTTGGCCGCTCTTCACAGTCTTCTGCTGTGAGGGTTTTGCCTTTCTGGCTCCCATGCTGGAGGGAGGGGTGCAGAAGAAACTAAGAAGCTCGAGGCGAAATGGCTGCAGACAATCAAGATTTCAAACCGAAAGTATGTGCTTCGAGACGCTCTCCCCTTTGATTTTTTCCAGCCTGTCGCAGGCTGACCTCAAAACCGGCTCGCTACCGCTACAGTCTACCCTTGCTTCTTCCGAGCAACCTTGCCAGTGGATGTGATAAAGTATCCCTTGCGTCCCTCCACTGCCCACGCCTTGCACTGAGAACAGCCGTGGGGCTTCTTTCTGCACCTGGAGCACCCGTAGTGCTCCAAAGGGAAGCCGTCGGCAAACAACTCTTCTTGCTTGGCTGCATCCGGCTTCTTGAAGTGTTTCCGGCAGGCTGGTTTCTTGAGAACCGGGGGCTCCTCAGCCTCAGCCTCAGCCTCCTCTGCTGCCTCAGGCTCTCGGGCTGCCTCCATCCTGGCCTTCTTGCTGAGAGGCTTCGCCGGGCTGGTCGCCATGGCTGCTTGCAGGGCACGCTTCGTTGCTTCTGAGAGAAAGTCGCTGCTGGGCTTCTTCGCAGAGCTGCTAGCAGAGGACACTGTGGCTGGGACCCTCTCAGGTGTTTCGGCAGTCAAGAGCTTGAAGTTGGCCTCGATGGCCCTTTCTTCGTCGGATGTTTGGCCATCCTGAACCGCCAAGGTTTGCTCGGTGGACTGGCATTCTTGCAGTTCCGGGTTGATTACCCGGCAAAGCTTCATCAGACTTTGCTGTTGCTGCTGCGAGGTTTTTTTGAAAACCTGCTCCCGCAGACGCTTGTTCCCAGCAAGCTCTCGGATCTTGGCTGTGATCATTCGCAGCCTCATGAGCAAATACTTGATGCAAGTTTCCTTCCAATTCGGGCCCGTGGCATTGGCAGGCTTGTTCATGTCGAAGTTCGACGCTGAGTGGCAAGCAAGCAACGCCTTCTCAAGCATCTTGTGTGGCAACAGGCCGTTGGTGCAGACGTGCAGGAGACACAGCAACAGGGCCTCCATGGCGCAGACCTGAGGCAGGTGGCCGGTGAGGGCCGTTTTCCATGTCATATTGTCGAGTCCGTGGATCAGCCGCTCCAGGCTTCGATGGCCCAGCTGCTTGAGACCCTCCTCTGTGGCCTCTTGCAGCTTGGACACAGTCACGGTCTCCAAAACTCTCATCCGGCTGCGAACAGACAGCTCCATGGCTTACAAGGCAATCCTAGGGACAGGGGCTGGGAACCTAAACTACAGATCTTGAGCCAACGTGCATTGCGATACAGATACTGTCAATGAGTGCCACGAGCAGGCACGCAAGTGCTTAATTACCGAGAGGCTATTTTCGGCCTGGTCACAGAAACACGGGTCGGTGGCTCTCCTTGTCCAGCTCTACGCAGATCGCTCTGCTGTACTGTCTGCCAAACCGCTGCAGTGCCGACAACGGCTTCCTGCCATTCAAGCAAGACTTGAGCAACGTCTTACACCTGGACATGTAATCCTCGCCGGAATAGGTCCACAAGTACTTCGGGTTCATGAATTCCGAGTACTGCATACAGTGTATGAGCCAGTGAGACTTGAAAGTCAGTTGAAAAAGATGCCTCCCTTGCCGGAGGTAGTCTTTTGTTAGCTTCGTCAGACACTGAGTGAGGGTAACAGCAGCTGTGAGCAGCTGGGCACTCTCCTCCACAGTGGGATGCCATTCCTGAGACGCGGCAACCTCTGTGTCGATGAAATTGCTGAGATCCAGCACGATGTTTGTCAGGACATGAAGCTCGTTCCCAGCATCCATACGTTCCCGCCAAACGTCCTTCAGGGCCGCCAAAGTCGCTCTGGTCTCGGCCGCTTTGGCTCGCAAGCACGGGTAGGACTGCAGGCAGTCGGCATCGCTGGTCTTGCCCAAATACATCCCGGCTGTAAGCCTCCTGACTGGCCTGTCGCTGGGCTGCTGTCGGTGGGCATGTATCTCTGTCACCAGCTGTCGGCGATTGGCTTCGACGTCGCCTTCCATGACTTGGTGTATCAGCAGCCAAACGACTGACCCACAGATTCTCTGGTCCACGCCAAGGTGTTTCGTGTGCATGAGGTCGGGGAACACAGAGGCCGGGCAGAGAGTCTTCCGGCGCAAAACGTGGCAACCATCTCTGGGCACATGCCAAGTGTCTGCTGGCACGGTGGGCACCCGCTTGTAGTGGAACATTGTCTGTCGTGCAACTCGGCACAACCCACAAGGATTCAACGAATTCCATCTGGGAAGACCATGTGCCAAGCTAAACCACTCCAGGTCTCCGCTGGCAAACACTAAAAGTGGAAAAGGCCGGCTATGTGTACTTGCTTCGTCCAGGGCCCTGTCGAAAGAGTCGCAAACGATAGCCCAAAGGCTCTCGACGGTGGATCCCCCCCCTCGCCCTGTGATGATCATGTCGGTCCAGACAGCACATATGAGTTGGTGCTGACATCTTGAGGCAGCACGTTCACATAGCAGGCTTCGCCAGCTGACGAAGGCACAACTTTTCTGAGAGGCACCTATCAAAGTCACGGGAACTCCATCTCCGTGAAGAACGAGTGGGACCGCCCGAGTCTCATAGTTTGGGACCTTCTTGACTGGGTGCATACGCAAAGCTGGGTGCTGTCCAACATCTCGCCAAAACTTGGCTAGTTTATCAGTTGACGGTAGCACCAGCTCCCTGAAAGCTTCGGGTCTTTTGCTTCGGAGGGCTTCAAAAGTTTCAGTCGGTTTGAAGAAAGGAACTGCTCCAGGCTCGGGCTTCAAAGGAAGCACTTCGAAGCTGACCCGAAGAAAGGGCTGCTGCACTCGTCGCTCCAAGTCCCTCCACAGATTGTGGGTCAAATCTGTGGCACCTCCGAGATCTGCCAGCACTGAAAGGTGCCTCGGCACAGCTGCCCCGCGAAGCTGCAGCTCCTCCTTGGCCAGTCTGGCTGTTAACCTAATTTGGGCCAAGCTTTGGTGACCCCACGCAAACTGTCGGTAAAGGTGAAGGGCCAGCTCTGATTCTTCAGGCACAGCATGCAGCTGGGCAGTTCTCTGACGAACTCCTTGCCTGGAGCCTCCGAGCACGGCTCTCTCCATTCCACTACACCACGAGCCCTGACATTAAGAATTGTCTTGAGCCCAGAGGGAGACGGCAGCAGATGAGAACTTTAATTTCTTCTTGAAATTCTTGGAAAACCGTAGAGATTTCGTTGAAATTCCCGCGAAACTCCCGCAAGCACCGTGGAAGTTTCGTCGAAATTCCCGCGAAACTCCCGCAAGCACCGTGGAAGTTTCGTCGAAATTCCCGCGAAACTCCCGCGAGCACCGTGGAAGTTTCGTCGAAATTCCCGCGAAACTCCCGCGAGCACCATGGAAGTTTCGTCGAAATTCCCGCGAGACTTCCGCGAAACCATGGAAGTTTCCATGGAAATTTCCGCGAAACCGTGGAAGTTTCCATGGAAATTTCCGCGAAACCGTGGAAGTTTCCATGGAAGTTTCCGCGACAACATGGAAGTTTCGTCGAAATTCCCGTGAGACCATGGAAGTTTCCACAAAGACCATAGAAGTTTCCATGAAAGCGTCGAAACTTCAACGAAACCATGGAAGTTACCATGGAAACTTCCGCGAAACAGTGGAAATTTCCATAGAAACTTCCGCGAAAACCATGGAAGTTTCGTCGAAATTCCCGCGAAACTCCCGCGATCACCGTGGAAGTTTCGTCGAAATTCCCGCGAAACTTCCGTGAAATCTGACCGAAAATTTCGCTCCGGACGACAATTCTCCAAAAAAATCCGGCTCGGACTTGAAGTTTTCTGGCCAGCAGCTCTGGGGTTCATAGAAGGGCCTTGTGCCCGGTCCGGAGCTTATGCCAGGACGTCTGGTCTTCTGGCACTCCAGAGTATTCCACTCATGAAGCGCAGCTTGCTTTCAGGATGACTGAAGAAGGGCCTTCGTTCAGCAGTCTGCAAAGCTGCCTGGCTCTCCCGGCCTTTCTTTCCCATTTTCGTTTGGGAGTACTGGCCAGCATGTCCTCGTCGAGAAACAAGCTCCTCACAAAGTCGGAGTCCAGGTTTGGGTGTCTGGAGACCAAACTCACGAGAAACTGGGCTCGCTTTTGGACGGTCAGCTCCATCTTCTTCTCGTCCATGGCTGAAGCACGGTGGGTGCTGGAGCTACCCTCAAGCCCATGCCCTGACTTGAGCAAAGAAGGATCGTGTCCTCGGCGACCTAAGGTCGCAACATGTCGCAGCCCGACACCCGACACATCCGTCGACCTAAACCCTAAACCTCTGAAGGCACAGAAGCTCGCATCCTTGGGTTTCGTCTCAGAGGGTCTTGGGTTTTGGGTTGAGGGTTTAGGGTTTAGGGTTTAGGGTTTAGGGTACTAGTTTAAGACCCGAAGACTCTAAGCGAAACTCACACCTAAACCCTTGCCTTGACCCTAAGGAAAAACGTTTATAACCCTTCAAACCCTAAACCCTCAACTGGCTCGATTTTTTTTGGCTCCGCGAGCTGGAAGACGCTGCTGCCGATCTTCGGCTCTCAATTGCCCTTGCCGCCTTTCCGGAAGACCAGCTGGGCCACCTCGGACCACATGTCCTTCATGAGCTGCATGCCCTCGGCAGACGGGCCAGCAGAGCTCGAGGCGGCCTGCTGCGACCGTGTCTCGTCTGAGCCAGCCTCCGACCGCAGTGCCTTGGCTGGTCGTGCAGGAGGTGGGCCTAGGGGCTCGCTGGGCTTTCTGGTGTCCTTTGCCACAGACGTCAGCCTCACCCTCGGCTCTGGCTGGGGGTCCTGGGCTTGGGTGAACTTCTGTTGCAGTTCCCGCCACTGCTCGGAAGCAAACAGGTGAGCCTTGCGACGCGAGAAAGAGTGTTTGCACTGGAGGTGCTGCTTGTAGGCCCACCAGGACTGTAAAAATTTTCTGCACTTCTGGGTGCCCCAGAAGCAACAGTACAAGCCCTCGGCCGACGCCTTTTGGGTGGGCCGCAGGGCCGTGTCCGGGAGTGGGGACTCGGACCTTTCTTCAGACCTGGCCAGGGGCGAGCGGGCACTCTCCTCCCGGCGGTCCTTGGACTCCTGGTCCTTGGGCTCAGGCTCAGCCTCCTGTTGGCTTTGCTTTGCCTCCTCCAGTTTCTTGTTGAGGAGCTCCATCTTCTGCGGGCTGAGCTCGGAGGCGGGTGGGAGGTCGAGGCGCCTGTCCCTGCACGCACTGTCCTCCGTCGAGCTACGCCTGACGGGCGAGAAGGGGCTTCTGGGGGGCGGCATGCTGGTGCAGACCGACCAAGAGCACGGAGTCCTCGACCTGCACAGGGGTTGAGGTTTAGGGTTTAGGGTTTAGGGTTTAGGGTTTAGGGTTTAGGGTTTAGGGTTGAGGGTTTAGGGTTTAGGGTTTAGGGTTTAGGGTTTAGGGTTTAGGGTTTAGGGTTTAGGGGCTGGTTGAGTTTTTCGGGAGTCGAGGTTCAGGGTTGGTTGAGTTTTTCGGGAAACTTCAAAACCCAATGCCCTGCAAGGCCGCCTGGCTTCCAAGGGGGTCTGGCCAACAGGCTTGGCAGAGACCCTCACCGCCAAACCTCCACAAGGGAGTGGTCTGGTGAGGGAATCTCTGCCCAGCCTGTGGCCGCCAAACCTCCCCAGTGAAGCTTTTCGGCTCTCCTATAGGTCCCTTAACCCTGCACCCTAAACCCTAAACCCTCTTAGACCCCCCCCCCCCCCGTTTTTAGGCAGAGCCCGGCCTCGAACTTTTGGGCATCCCAGTGCGACCGGGAGGGCCAGCTTTGAGCCCACAAACAGCAGCACAAAGCACTGCGCACGAGAAGCCCTTCGAACCCTCCTACACCACTTAAAGCTAGAACCCTCCTCCTCACGCCACGACCTAAAGCGCAAGAGCCACGCACCTTTTCCAACACAAGCTTCCCGACACGAGTCCCTCTCGTGTGCACAGCTGGTGTTAACCTCGGTTCGCTAAGTTCGCTAGCCGGTCCCACTGGCCCGATCTGATAGTGGCGATCAAGGCCTCTGGGATCGACAGAGCTTCCCCTCTACTGCAAGGCATTGATGCTTTTGATCAGCTCTTGCGCCTGCAGAAGGCGCTGGCTGAACTGCTTCATCACAGCCTTCAGTTTGGTGAGAGAAGCCTTCCCGCAAAGCCTGATCTGTTCAAGGTTCGCCTGCAGGGGCAGGAGAACCTCCCAGGTGGCATCAAGCTCCTGCTTGAGATTGGTGTAGGTGACCGAGCCCTCAAGCTTCTTCAGCTTCATTGTCGCTGTCTTGGCAGTAGACAACCAGTTAAGGGCATCCTCGACCTTGCCCAGGACTTTGGGGTCTGCTGGCTGCAGGTCCACGGCACCGTCGCAGATGGCCAAGGGGATCGGGCTCGATCGGCTCGAGGCCGCAAGGCTGGCAGAGGGGGCTGTCGTGCTGGAGCTCTGCAAGGGGGGAAGGTCGTCGCCGTCTTGGAAGCTCGCAGACGGCACCAACTCAGGCTGGAAGCTCTCGCAGAAGGCGAGGAACTGCTTCGTGGCATCCGCCGAAGCATGCTCCTGCTGCTTGTGGTTGGTCTGGGAGGTGCAGCCTTTGGCCGTCTCTATCTCCACACACCTGAACTTGTACATCCTCTTGCCCCCTTCATCGACGGCCTCGATGTCCCCCTCCTGGAGGCCGCGGACGAAGTTGGCTTCGCCGCCGCATTTCCCGATCGCCACGGCCTTGGGGTATGCCTTGTCGCGAGTCTTCCCCATAACCGAGGAGTACGAGGTTGTGAGCGATTCGAGGACGGTCGGCTTCAGAGCAAAGTGCCACTTTCCTTCTGGGCCCTTCTCGACGTTCTCGTTCACCAAGCGAGTTTTGTCCGAGCGACTCACTTGCTTCGACTCGAAGAGCTCTTGCACCACTTGGGGAAGCTGAGACAGGTTCTTCTCAAAGAAGTGCGACTTGTTTTTGTCTCGCCTGTTTTGGCTCGTTGTCTGTCCCGACTCGAGGTGCTCGAGGTCCGGCAGCTCGAACTCGGCAGCACGCTTTTTCAGGCGTGCTCCAGCTGACAGTTTCTCAAGCTTCGGCTCTTCTCGGCCCCCTCCGGCTGGGCGGTTTCTGGTTCTTCACCCTTCTTCTTCGAGGGGGCCTTCTTAGGCTTGGCCTCGGTCTTCGCCTTGGCCTTGGCCTTGGCCTTGGCCTTGGCCTTCGCCTTCGTCTGCGGTTTGGCTGCCTTGGCCTTTGGTGCCCTATCTTCGGTCGGCTCGGGGCTTCCTTCAGGAGCAGTCTCTGCTTCTGGCTTGGGCTCGGCCTCTGAGGCTAGCTGCTGAGCAGCGAAAGCGAGGGCGAGGACACTTTGCTTAGCCATGGCTCTCAACGGTCACGCACTAGCTGACACTTAGAGCCAAAAAGCTATCGGATTTCTTTACCCGCCCTGCCCCCCCCCCATGCCGGACATGACGTGAACCTCAAAACCAGCACCCGCTTCAAAATCGCAGCATGGAAAATATAGATTTTACACTATATTCAGGAGTTAAAAATAAACTATTTGTAGATAAATTTTAACTACAAAAATTAACTAATAGTTAAATTTTAACTTGACTATAGTTTGGCAGTAAATAGTCTAAGCGGAGCCTCGGGGTGGCCTTGTCCGGCACGGGCCAGTTGTGCCACGGAGTGTCAGCCAAGTTTTGTGACTGTGGCAGCACGTTGCAGCACTGCTGTCGGCTGCTACCATGGAGGTCGGCGTTAATAGGCGTTTAGCCGACACCGTGGGGAGGGGGAGGTTGTCGTGGAGAAGCACAGCCGGATGCCATGTGATGCATCAATGATACGTGGTCCCTTCGACAGCGTTGGCTTTGTCAGCGCGACAGGCTGGCCCATCCTTGCGAGACAACTCCGCCTGGCCTTCCCGAGAGCTTGGAGCTGGGGTCCATGACCCTGCCCGGAGTGGTTGATCTGAGACTCACGCGCAGGACTGCACGATCCACCAGCATTTCACGCCCATGAAAAATTGGAGAGTGTGAGGTGTCCAACGGTAGGCTTGTGACGAGTGGCCCCTTTAGTGGCATTAGCCTTGCAGGCGCCACGGACTGGCCCATCCTTACAAGACAGTTTCGCGTGAC